GACACTTTCAGCTAAATCTTAGAATCACAGAATGGTTTGGGTTGGGAGAGACCTTAAAGCTCATCTAGTTCCAACCCCCTGCCATGGGTAGAGACACCTTCCACTAGACCAGGTTGCTCAGAGTGCTATCCAGCCTGGACTGGAACACTTTCAGGGATGGGAGACACATCTTTTTATTGTAACAGATGCTGCCAACATGAGCTACTAGATGATTGCAGGCTCAGTGGGTGTTTGGTGGAGTCTTTGGTTTTGGCATTTGTTCCGTCTTTGCTTATTAGCCCATCAGAGCCTACACCACATCCTCTTTTTTAGCTGTCCTGTTCCAGTTTGTGTGACCCAGTAACAACCCTCTTATCTCAGAACATGGCTTGGAGGCAGTTAGTATCATGGTAGTTAAGGGGCTCTGGTTGTCACAGTAAGGCTACCAGAATTAGCTTTTACATGTTCTTCCTTTCTTTTACAGTGACATTGGCACCAGCAAGCAGGACCTGGAGGAATTAATTGCCCGGGTTCAGAAAGAGCTGAAGCTCCAGAAGTACTTGAACTTTGTGGACATTCATAAGGCATTTCTTCAGTGCGATGAGGATGGCTCTGGCACCCTGGACAAAGGAAAATTTTTGTCCCTTTGTGAGAACTTGAATGTGCCAACCAGTAACATTCTTCTTATGCAGGTCAGAAGGAAGGGGTGCTGTGCTTATTGAATTCCCCTCCTATAGTTATTGCAAAAGATCTCTTCCAAACACTAGCCCTAACCAGCTGATCTACCCTACAAAGGGGAACAGCTTCAAGAAAAGGGCAAGGGAGTCCCAATTGAGAAAGGCCTCTGAGCTCTTGGACTGAGCCTTTGTCTTAAAGGAGGAGATAACAATTGCTGTCCTCTAAGGAGAGAAGAAATGTTACCCAGGTTTCCCCCCGTGTTTGGCTGCAGTGTTATGTGAAGCCTGAAAATTCCTGCTAGTTCAGGTCTCAGATGAGCAGAACAGGTTTTATATCATGACAAAGATCAGGGATAGGCTACTGCAGAGCTATAGAGTGTCTGTCACAACTTAAGCACACCTGGGCTCAAGTAGAGATGACACTGAGGTGCTTATGGAATAAGCCTTAGGAAAGTTTAGAGGCATTCTGAATTTAACAGCAATTGAATTGAAGCTTTGAGAACTAAGTGTTGTCCCAAAAATAATATAAAAAGAGAAATTAGAATCATAACCGCTTGGTTAACACTTGCTGGGCACTATGAGCAACAGCACATGGAGATCACAGTCTGCATAGCAGAAAATGGGAGGGAAACAGAGAAAAATTCATGCAGAAAAAAATCCTTTTAGTGACTGGCAGTAATTAGTGGCCAGTAAAGACAGACTCTAAAGACATCTAGAAACCAGAGGAAGTATTTCCCTTGCTAAAATGAAAAATTTTCTAAGCCAGCCAACCCTGAGCATCACAGCTGTGGTCAGAAAGGTGCATGGGCAGGGGATTTGTGTCTCTGAATGTGGGATGAATAAAGGCCCTTGACCAGCACCCAGGGCCTTGCTGTACTACAGTTCATCAGAGCCCTGAGGGATTTACAGTGTGGAGAGTCTTTCCCACTCCACCCCAAGACGTGATAGGACAAGGAGTAATATGTATAAAGTGAAAGAGGGAAATTTAGGTTAGATATTAGGAAGAAGATTTTTAATGTGAGAGTGGTAAGACACTGGCATATGGCAGAGAGTTAACTGCTGCCTGGATTGGAGAGGAGCACAGCTGTCAGTCACACCAGAACAAACCCTGGTGAATCTGTCTCCAGGCGACAAGGGGAATCCTTTCAAGGAACTGTGATATTAGACCTTTTCCATCTCCCTGGGTGTCAGAAGGAGATTAGTTATGCAATTAAAGAAACAAAAGCTCTCTTTCTTCCCCTTAAGCACACAAAAGCTATAGCTCTGTAACACAATGCAGGGTCAGGCACGGATACCAGAACTGCCTCATTAGTGGGGCTGTCACCAAGCTCAGTTATCTGTGTCTCCCCTTTATGCTATATGCACACACCAAAGTGATACCACTGAACAGTAACTGTTCAGATACTCTGCCCCCACCCCACTTTTGGCAGGAATTCCTGAAAGATTTTCTGTGGCCTAGGTCAGTCTGTGGCCATGCTTTGGATTTTTGTGGATCTATCTATTGCCACTGTGGTGATGTCAGAAGGGAATCGGGATTAAACTCAAACACTTTAACTCTTCTCCTTGCATAGATTGTTGTCATCTATAAGCATTCAAAGTTGGACTTGAAGCTTTAGATCATCAACTCCAACCTTTTGATCATCAAGTTCAAACATTTAAATGTAGTCTAACCTTTAGTCAAGGTCCTGATGATCTAAAGATTGGAACTGATGATCTTGCAGGGCTTTTCCAACCTTCATGATTCTCTAAGTTTACCTGTGATTCAGAACTACAAAGGTGGTAGACTCTTCCACATGGGGGAATAAGGCCTCCTGCCCTGTCACACAAGTTGTGCCTCTGAGCACTTTCCCCTAAAAAAACAACCCAAATTTGCAGCTTCTTCCAACTCTTTATGGTGTTTGTTGTGACTTTTGTCCCCCAGCTGATGGACCAATGTGCCTGTGGAGATGACAAGATAAACTACCGTGAGTTCCTTCAAGCCTTCCCTCATGATGTTTGCCCAGGAGCTGAAGCACAAGACCAGCAATAAAACTTTCAGCCAACTTGACTTTAAGACACTGCACTTCGAAAGGGATGTTCTAGGCTTTGCCTGTGCTTCACTCACTCTCCTCCTTCCATAGAGCTAATTCCATTCTCATTTGTTCACTTTCAACCTTCCTAACCTCTTTCTGCCCTTTTAGCCACCACCAAACTCAACCTTACAACTGCTGGATGTTGAAATGAAACTCATAGAAGAAAAAAGCTTTGGAGAATCAAAGTCAGGTTCTCCTGTTGATTTCTCAACATTTTTTGTGCAGTACTTTAGAGAGCTAAAGCTCTCTGAAGCCTGAAGTGAAAACCACTCTGGATTTCTCTTACAGAGCCAAAAGGGCCTTTCACCTTCAAGTAGCGAAGTCTGCCAGTTTCAGTTGTTACTAAAACTGCAATGAAAGTGTAGTTGCTGTAAAAGTGTTAATAAATCTGCTTTAAGTAGAAGTACCTCAGTGGCTGGAAAATGAGTTGGGGGGGAAAGATACACAATGTGATTCTGGGTTTACTCAAAATGGAGTGGTGAGTTTAGCTATCAGAAGATAGCAAGGGCCTGGAAGTGAATCTGCTGACAGCAGCTTTGCAGTTTTTAACCAAAGGTTGTGAGAATGGTTTTAGGACTGAGATCCCATCTAATGCAACCTGTCATCTCACCAGACTGGTTTCCAAGGAAAAGGGAACACAGGCAGTTGGCATAGCAATAGAGTCATGACACTTGTGCTCCACTTAAGAGTCACATTACTCATCTCTCCACGAAGGTAAACGTGGTGAGGACCTCCTCACCTCAAATGACACCTGCCAGGTATTGCCATGGAGCACATACAAAAGGCAGTTGTCATGCACACAGAGAACAAAGCTCTTTGGAACAAAATGCTTCTTTAAATCAGCTTTTGTGCTGTGGATTCCCACTTCCCCTCAGACAGCTGAGAGTCTCCACGTAACAGCTCCCTCCTGCTCCCCTTGTTCGGAAAGGTCACTGCTCTTCCCCTCTGGGCCCTTTTTGTGCTGCTGCTCACTGACTGAGGATCATTCCAGTTCTCTCTGGTTTTATGACCAAGAACATACATATAAAATTACTGGACCTGTAGAAAAGAAAGTCAGAAACTCTTTTCTGCACATACTATGAAACCATAACCTAATCCTCAGCCAAGTCATGTCATGTGCCTGGGACCAGCTGCTCAAAGTACACAATTTAGCTCACCGAAAAGTATGTGCCTAAACCACATCAGATAAATCATGTCCTACAAATGCCCTTATCCTCCACTCCCTGTGATGAAGGCAGCCACAGATAACTCACTTTGGAGCAGCTACCCATGCTGTGGAAATATAGGAAGATGAAGCTCAGTTGCAAGGGCATGGAGTGACAGTACAAGGGGGAATGGCTTTAAGCTGAAAGAGGGTAGATTTAGATGGGCTATCAGGAAGAAATTCTTCCCTGTGAGGGTGATGAGGCACTGGGCACAGGTTGATCAGAAACTTCCATCCCTGGAAGTGTCCAAGGCCAGTCTGGATAAGGCTTGGAGCAACCTGGTTTAGTGGGAGGTGTCCCTGCCCATGTCAGGGGATTGGAACTAGATGATCTTTAAGGTTCCCTCCAACCCAAACCATTCCATGATTCCATGAATATGAGTTGCTGCAAAGGGAACAGACTAGTCTGGTACGGCAGGAGAGACATCAGTACAAACCATCACAGCTTGGGAATGATAAAGCACCATCGGACAGCAGCACTGGAAGAATCTATGCCTTTTATTTATTTATTTCAGAAAAATACTTTTGCTGAGTTTAACACAAAAGTCATTTAACAACAAACAACAACAAACAAAATCCATACAAAAATTGAAGTGACAGGAAGAATGAAACAAATGGGATAAAATACCAGAAACTGTTAATTCCCCCCACCCCCTCCAAATCCAGGAAATTTGCACTAAAGCATGGAAGAACAGTAATTTTCCTCGACTTCCTTGCTGAAGTTTGGTCTATTGATTTCAACATTTTCAAGGAAAAAACTATGTGCCTCTGCCTGGCTTTTCCAACAGCCACTCTTCCCTGCAAAACTCCACACACAGCCCTGAGGGAAGTAACATACTTCACTGCTGGGTATAAAACCTACCAAACCAACCTTTTATTCCACATGAAGTTTCCTGGAAGGCTGTAAATCAAACCCCAACACCTCCATCCATTGTTGACACAATCTGGGGTCCATCTACCAAGACATCATCTAAGGCAAGAGCCTGAGGCTGTTGTCAGCCTCCAGGCACTGCAGCAGAGGCAGGGCAGCTCCAAGCTTCCAGAGTCACTTGGAGGCAAGGAAGAGGCATCCTAGAGTAGTCACTCTTCCCTCCAACCAGGAAGCCTACCAAAGATCCATTGTAAAATGGTGAGTTGAGGGTAAGAGGACCTACATGGGAACTGGAACTTGTTTACTACTAACCCAAACATAATGAGTAAGAAGAAAGAATCCTAAACAACAAGAACAAAAACACATGACTGTAATGCCCCATAACGTGAGTCACTCAAACATTGTATGTGAAATGCTACATCTGTTCTTCCTCCACCCCTTTCACTTCCCAAGCCCATTCTCCAACAATCTAGGACAAAGAGACAACTACACAGCTCTTCTAGGCTAGGACAGGAAAACACTATGCTTCACCCCAAAAATCACAGACTACTCAATTCCTGACCTTCTTAGGTTGGATAACAGATAGGGACTACGAAAGGAGCCTCAAGCCCACAGGAAGGGTGCAAGCAACAGGTCACACTGGAGTAAATACCTGCAGTTTGGGATAGTCTTCATCACCTTCTGTGCTGTGGTGGACAAGAGCTCCTGTTTGGGGTTGGATCTTGATGTTAGATTAAAGGCTGGACTTGATGAGACCTCCAAGGTCTTATCCAACCTCACCCAATGATTCTATGATCTTTTCTGCAGATGACACAGGGCTTGACAAGATGGGGCATAAGAAGAGCATGCACTCAAGGAAAGTGAGCTCGTGACAGTGGTCAAAGAAAGACTGACCACTAAGGGCCTGCAATGAAAATATTCCACTCGGGAAAGAAAAAGCTCTGTGGGCTGAAGAAAAGGCTCAATGTGCTGAGAAATGACATGGACACAGAAGCAGTTACTGCAGGCTTGCAGCTGAGGGATTGTGCTTGCACTAGAACACAGAGCAAGGAGCAGCCCATGGCAGCCCCTCCACTGGAGAGGGGGTTGCAAACCTCCAGGATGACAGTGGATATTGCCTCACAACAAAGGCTCAGCCTAAAAACAAACCAACCTGCCAGGTTTGGGTCTAACAGAAGGATGGGGATTTCTCAGGACTAAATATAGAGGAGGGCAAAAAAAATCCCCATCATCTATAGGTTTAAAAAACAAGTAATAAAAAGAACACATGAAAATGCTTCCAAAACAAACCGTCCCTTTTCCTGGTAGCTCTATCAAAAACAAAACAAAACACCACATAAATGTCGCATATGCTGTACATACATAGGAAAGAGGTCACTCAGCTACTGCTATAGTACACAGAGAAGCTACAACATAAGGCACTTGGGATACAAAGCATAATCAGCTACTGCACAAAGAGACAGGATTGTGCAAGTGGCAAAGCTGCCTGAAGCAAAGCAGGCAGCAGGAGGAATGCAGCAGTCAGGTTTTTGAGGGGCTGTATGTACCACCTGTTAACAGGGTCAATAGCTCAACTGCTGCAAGGTACCAGCTCTGCAGAAAAGACCAGATGAGGCTCCACGGAGATGCTGGCCAGCAGTTGCTCTTGGAGGGCACATGGCAGTGCATGGCTGGGGATGGGAAGAGGAGGACAAAGGAAAAATCACTCACACTAGACCTTCTCCATGTCCTCCCTAACATGAAGCTCTTTCCCCCCCCATGACGTTGCACTGCAGGTACCGTCGCTGCCTCTGAGCCAAAATATGTGTTATCTATCCAGCACAGGCTACGAGGAGCAATTGCAAGGTATCACCAAAGGCTCTGCTCCAGCCTCCTCCTCCAGTTCCCCAAGAAAAAAGGGGAAACCCTCTCCTGCTAGTAGCTCTTGTTTGATACTCAGAGGTCATGGGGATGGAGGAACAAGTGGAATTTGACCAACTGTCCTCATGTCCCTGCACATTTTCTCCCTCTGGTGCCCAGCATTAACTGGGGCTCAACAAGGAGAGGGCAAGGAAGAGAAAAAGACACCAAGAGGCAAAAATACCAACTCAGCTCAAAAAGGGGCAAGAAAACCAACTGTCACCTGTTCCTCAAAACATAACTGATGCAAAGGACAACCACGCCAGCCTCAAGCTAGAATTGCACTTGAAGAGAGCTAGAGTTCAGCTGCCCAAAGGGAGCTCGGGCATGCCAAGGACCAATCCTGGACTGCACATGGAAGAGGAACCCAGCTCCTCCCAGCTTTGTGCCCCCTCTCCTCACCCAGCCAAGGCAACACACCACTCAGCTGTTCCTGCTGTGGCAAAGCAGAACTAAAGCTACAGCTGACTTTGCTGCACAAGAGGCACCAACAGCAAAGATCAGCTCAGGAGCCACACTAGAGGAGAGCTGTGGGGTGAGAAGTGCCACTACTGCTCACCTGCCCAGTCTAGCCTGGTGTGTAGCACTCCAAAGAAGCTCAGTGAGATGGCACTGACACACGAAACCCCAAGCAGATGCTGCTCCCCAGCAGCAAGGAGCTCCCCAGTCAGCAAGGGACCGAGCCAGTGGGATCTGGCTTCCCACAACATCTCCTGCCAGCACGTAGAGGTGGCAGCAGGCAGAGGCAAGAAGGGAAAGTGGTCTGCAGCAACAGATGGCCTCTGAGGTAGATTTGAGACAACTCCATCTGCCAACAGCTACACATTACAAGTCAGGCTTTTCCTAAAATTCAAGCTGCTCCTTGCAGCCCCAGCTTCCTTCCCCTTCCTTCCCTGTCGTCTCGTTCACAGCTCAGAAAGGGATGAAGGGGCTGGGTTTTTTGGAAGAAACCCTGGATTTGATAGCACCTTGGGTGGATACAAGCTCTGTATCCTTTGGAAATAAAGAGTGAAGCTGGTGACTGCCGATGGCATGGCTGGACTGATACAATAGGAATGAGGAAGGCTGAGGTGACAGCATGAGGGGCACGGTCCCATTGATGCAAAAACCCTTTGCAGCAGCCAGTTTGTCATCCGAATGTGGCCATGAGCCACGAGAACACCAGGTCCATGAGGCACACACAAGCTGGCAAAGGGCCTGGGCTGACAGGAGCTAGGCCAGCGCTCAGAGCAGGGCAAGACTCAAGGGTTCACATGGACCTGAGGATGCTGCTGCCCCACAACAAGGCAACCTGCATAGCCCCAGGCCCAGCTCTGAGGTCTAGGAGGTCCAGAGCAACCACAGGGCAGCTCACCTTCTGCAGCCAAGAGAGACCCAGCTGTACTAGAAAAGCTGGGGCAAGCAGAGGCTAGGAGGTGAGCCTTCCATATGAAGAGGGAAATTCTCTCCCCTCTCTGCTGTCCAGCTCTCCAAAATTAGCTCAAAATCAGAAAATTCCACTTAACCAGCGGTCCACCATGAGACAAGGCAGAGCTGAGGCTCCTCCCTCAGACCTTGGTCTCTCTTTGCAGCATCAGCATCCTGTTGAGCGCTGGCCAGACGTGCCCCATCTCACCTGAGAGCACCCCTGAGCCTCAGGGTCACACAGCCCCAGCACATTTCCCCAGGAACCTGTTCCCATAACACACATTTGGTGCCTTCAAGCTGTCGTGGCCCTGTCCCAGGGGCTCAGGAAAGCACCATGAAGAGAGGGGAAGAACATGCTGTAGGAGAAAAAAGGATTGTTTGGAACCATCTACGATGCATTTGTAACAATCATCCAAAACAACCAAACACTAAAATAGAAAAGAAAAAATTGCACACTGCTTTACGATCAAACAAAGGGAAGCAAAACCAGGAGGGCTGGAAAAGGTTCCTACAAGGGGAAGGGAGCAGGGGAAAGGGACCTTTTTGGTTTTATTGCAAATGGTTCAAGAGAGCAAGAAAGGAAGGGAGGAGAGCGAGAGACACCTTGGGAAGATGACTGGTTTCCAAGCCATTCAACATGCCGTCCGTGAGGACCAGGAGGAGGGGCTGCTTAGTCCTGGTATCTCACCCTCCTCCCCAGGAGACAACCTTTTGCTTCTATGGTGACTTCAGCTTCTTGGTTCGAGGTGAGGTGCCGTTCTCCGCTTTTACCACTCCATTTTCATGGTAACCTGAGGATGGAGAGAGAAAATTTTGTCCCTTACACAAGCCAAAACATCAATCCTTTCAGCGCTGGCTTACATACATGGGGAAAGTCCCCACTAGGTCAGGACACTGCTGGAGACCTCCTGTGCAGGCAGCAGCCTGCTGAGGGGATGCTGAACAACAGGACTACTGCCTCCGATGATGCCACCTGCACCAGCACTCACCTGTGTCCCTCTTGAGCGGTTTGGTTTGCTGCTTGGTGCCGGTGGCGGCTGCTCTCTTCCGACTGCTCTGCTCGTTACAGTACTCCCTCCAGCGCCGCAGCTGGAAGTGGATGAAGCGCCACATCATTGAGGCCTGGAAGAGGCACACCAACAGCAGCACACTCATTCTGGCAGGGGTGGAGAAGAGGAAGGCTGAGAACAGAGCAACAAGGCCACCCCCAGCCCAGCCTTCCACCCATACCAGGCCTGGTGGCCGAGGTTCCCCTAGGTGGCAGGTGCCATCCCTCCAGCCACCATTTCTTCTGTCTGCCATCCCCTGAGACCAGAGCAACCACTTCCCTCTCCCTCCACACCATAAACGCCCCAGGTGCTCAGGGCATCACTGACTCTTAGAACACTAGGCCAGGAATGGACAAACAGGATCATCTCAGCCAGCACTACCTAACCACAGTCTGCACAGTCAAGGTATGACATTCCCAGCTGCTCTGTACATCTAAAAGGTGGATGTGGTAGAAGGGACCTAATAAAGTCCTTTGAATCCTTCAGCTGTACCAGCAGTCCATGCACTCAGAAATCTTGGGAATGACTAGGCCTAGCAAATTCTGAACTAAAGCTACAGCTGCTGTATGGGGGAGAAAGGCTCCCAGTCTTCACAGATTGCAAGGCATGAGGAGTCCATCCCACCCTCTGCTCTCTACATCAATAGGCAGCAAAACATGTCCAAGCAGAAGGGAAAATGCCTTTTCATTGACCACATCCATATAAATGCAGTTACAGGTGCAGCAGGGAAAGCCTGCAAGCCTTTCTTTAAGACAGGCTCATGCTTTGTCATTTCACTCAAATGAACACTTTGTTTCCTGGCTTTTCCCCTCAATTGTGGTTCCATAGCCTTTAAAGACCTCATTGTGCCCTCCACACCATCCCAGCTCACTAGGACCTTCCTTTAACAGAACCAAGACAAGATCCCCACTGGCATTTTCAAACTCAACAAAACCCACCTTGAGGTAAAACAACCAAGGAAGACACAGGAGACATTCCTACCTGAAGAGGATATTGTTGAAGAAGAAGCTGAGGAAGTTCTCTCTCTCGGGGTCCAGGGCTTGGCTCTCAACCCGTGGCAGCCCAAAGCCAATGACCAGGATGTACAAGGTGAGGGTGAAGAGCCTTGTGACCACAAACACCACAGCCCAGACATTAAACCTGCAGGAGGGCAAACAGAGGTGTGGGCAGGAGCAGCCCCCAGCGCTGCACTGGGAGGTGACAGCAAAGCCCCCAGCTCTGGCGAGCTCCAGAGGAGGATGGAAGCCATGGGCAGCTCCCCTGCTTACAGCTTCTCGTTGTTCTCATCTGTGAAGCAGACCAGCCGGGCCATGTGGAAGAAGAATTCGGCTAAGTACTGCAAGAGCAAGAGGATCAGCCCCAAGCGGGTTAAGCTAGAAGGAAAGAGGAATTAAAACGTATCACTGGGCCAGTCGACCTTCATCCTTCAAATTCAGCTATAGCCTCTCCCCTGCCATCCCTGAACTGCAGCACTAGCCCAAAAATGGACCTTTCTGCAGCACTAGGGATTGGTCTGCAATGGGGAAAACCTCCGACCTCAAAACATCATAGAGCCATGGAATCATAGAATGGTTTGGGTTGGAAGGGACCTTTAAGGGTCACCTTGTTCCAACTCCCTGCCATGGGCAGAGACACCTTCAAATAGACCACATTACCAGGTTATAATCCACATCTGTCTGGATGCTCTCTCCTAAATTTAGCCGGAAGCCCTGAACGCTTCCAGGGCTGGGGCAGCCACAGCTTCTCTGGACAAGCTGTGCCAACACCTCACCATCCTCACAGGGAAGAATTTTCCCCAAATATCCACTCTGAATCTCTCTTTTATGTGAAAACCATCCCCCCTTGCCCTATCACTACCTGCCCAGGCAAAAAGTCGCCCTCCAGTGAAAAGTCACTTTATTTCCTTTAAGCTCCCTGCCCTGCTAAGGCTTCCTGAGTGACTCCCACTGCAAAGGGACCTGCTCAGCCCCATCCATGGCATAGGACAGGATGCTGAGGCAGGTTACTCACTTGAGCAGGTATGCACCAGTGATGTGCACCAGGTAGAGTGTGATGCAGCGCAGCTGGCGTGGGATCTCCTCCTGGCAGTGCATAAAGCTCTGTTAATCTCCCAATCCTCTCCACCAGCCCTTTCCCAAAGCTTCCTCTCCCAAAAGCCAATCCTACCCAAAAGGGTGGGATTCCCAGGTGGCACAGGAGGGCCCACTTGGCTCTCACCTTACGAACTTTTTGGAAGTAGAGCTCTGGCAGGGCATGCAGCCAGTACGCCAACTGGCACAGGTAGAAGAATTTCACCTGGAACCTGAAATGCAGGGAGAAGCCATGTGAGCCAGCCTGGGGCATGGTAGGACCCCAAGGATCCAGGCACCAGGGCAGCATTGGGCAATCCCTCCACTGCACTGAAGCCATGGGATTTAGGAGACATAGTTTCTGGGATGAAATTATTTGTTGAGCTGAGTTATCTTGAGTTATCCAGATGTTCATGCCGTGGTCTCCACGCTGTCAGCAAACCTGACTTTTGTAAAAATTCAGGAAGGGAGGATTATCCCCCACTTAATTTTTACAGTGAAACATGAACAGCAAAGAGACTTGCCCAAGGTGATGCAGGAAACAGAGTAACCAAGCCCACAAGATGTTCCTCATGGAGGAAACCCTTTAGAACACACTTCCCAGACTCACAAAGAGACATTCACCATTCCTCATGATCACACTGCAGCATCCTTGCAGCAGGGTGCATGCAAAGGGTGCTGTGCTGTCAGCACCCAACTCCCAGCCACAGGGAAAACCAAAGAGAGGAAGGAAATGGCCAGCCCCAGAACAAAATGCCCTTGCAAGTGCTTACGGAAGATAAACATGGGGGTAGTTTTCCCACAAACTCCGAGGGTTTGATATGTATCCTTCCTGAAAAAGAGAAGACATGCAAGACTTCAGCAAAAGAAACAGGCTGTGACAGGGTGGCATGATGCCACAGCAAAACAAGGAACTAGGAATGACACCAGACTCCTTTCAGCCTGCAGAAACAAAACATGTCCCCTGCAAGAGCCTATCCAAAGCTCACTCACACTCATGGGTCTCCAGCGTCTCTCTAAAATATCTCCAGGCCCTGTGTTCGGGGGTGAAGGCTGCTTGCTCAGTTTCAAAGGGTCCTATGTTTAGGATAGGATGTTTTGGGGGTTTGGATGCTCTGGAGGTGTGGGGGTGAGATGGCTGTAGTATGGCTCAAGCAACTGTGTGCATGGTCCAGGGGGCTTCTTCCCCACTAGCATTTCCAACCCCAGTATCACTTGAGCAGTAAGAAGTAGTTCTGAAGAGAAATGCCTAGAAAGAGAATTTAATATCCATTCAATAGTTTAATTTTCCATCTCTTGCCTTATGCTTGCAGGGCAAGTTACAGGATGGGCCTCCCCTCTTTCTCCTGCCACAGGGATGCAGCACTGGGCCTTGCAGGGAAATTTGCCCTGCCAAGTCACCATCACCCAAGCCCTGTCTGCCCCAAGCCCTTTTCTTGGTTACAGAAGGACCCCATGAGCAGTGGGAAGGGGACCTTTCCCTGAACATCTATCCTCGGTGCCACTGGAGACCACAGCTGGCAGCAGGTAGTGAAACAGCATCACTTCACACTGCCAAAATAGCCAGATCTCTCCCACACCATCTGTTCTTCCCACCCACTTCCTCCACAAAATAATGTGTTTTCCCTCTGAATTCTTCTCCCAGCAGTTTTAGGGTAACACATCTCCAATGTAACCCAAGGCACGGTGTGGTTTTCCTGTTCTCAGTGATCCCCTCACTGTCAAATTGCCAAGAGAGGTACCACAAAGAGGGATCCCAAAAATCTGCCCATTAGCCGCATGACCCTGCTAAAGGCATCCAAAAACCTGAAGGCATTGTACATAAATAAGGAGGAAAATAGAAGCTGAGAAGGATGGCAGGACCCAGAGCAGGACCAGGCAGGATTTCTGGTATCCAGCTTCAAAAATATTTCACAGCCCATTGCTTATACCTTGCACAATGCAGAAGAAGGACCTCCCAAAACTGCCCTCACTCAGTGGCTGGCAAGACCCACCACACTTGAAGCCTAGACTTACTGAGATGTGCCTGTTTTGGCCCAGGGACTTGTTGGAGACTCTGCTGACAGTGGGATTTTGCGCTCCAGTAACCACAAACACCCCCCACCCACCCCCCAGGAACCCAAATCTCGGCCAGCCCCGAGCCTTACCGTCACTACAACATACAAGCACCAAATCACAGAGGTGAGGTGGAAGGCAACCAGCTGCCCTGACTCATTGAACTTGCTGTGTTTGACCTTAGAGAGATGCAGGCGTCTGTTGATTTTCTGGGAAGGAGCAGAGGGAGAGAAAAAGAACAGGAGAACATGAGCCACCAGGTCATCAACCCTCTCTTCTCCTCCTCATCCCAAGCAGCCTCCAGAGATGAAGCCTCACTCATCATCCCCAGAATTGCATTTAAGGGCAGCAGAACCATGACCCCCAAGGGATTCAGGATATTTTTATGACTCAAGGCATGGAATGGCACTCACGTCCAGAGCGTATTCCTGCACCACTGCATGCAGGATGATGGCGATGAAGATGTAGAAGAGGATGGTGACCAGATCCTTGAGCCCATAGTGGTACTGGACCAGCTCTCCATCTGCAAAGAGACCAAACGGTGGGTCAAATCCCCATGACCCAAATGATTTCCAAGTAAAGGCTTAAGGGGTTAATGGGGGAGGGGGCTAATCCAAACATGCAGCTTGGATGGGGACACCAGAGAGAGATTATGACTGTGCCAATGGCTGGAAAAAAGGGCTCTATCCAGGGTTAGTTCATGGCAGAGGTGGGTGGTTTCTCCTCTAATAGTTACACACCTCAAGGGAGGAGACACTCAGGATACTTCAAGCTTTCCCTGCCAGAGATGAAGGGGCTCCAAGTGAAAAATTCTTTGTTAGGAACTGCAGTGATAGGACAAGGAATAACAGGCTCAAATTGAAAGAGGGGATATTTAGGCTAGATAGTAGGAAAAACATTTTTAACATGAGGGTGGTGAGACACTGGAACAGATTGCCCAGGGAAGTGGTGGCTGCCCCAGTCCTGGCCAGTGTTCAAGGCCAGGCTGGATGATGCCTTAAGCAATCTGGTCTAGTGGGGAGATGTCCCTGCCCATGGCAGGGGGTTGTGACTAGATGATCTGTAAGGTCCATTCCAACCCCTAAAATTCTATGATTCTGTGAAAACATGGAGGTAGCACTGAAGCAGGTGATAGGATCAGGGACGCCCCACTGGGAACATTAGATCTCAGGATGGTATTTTCATCCCCTCAGTTATGGCCAGACACCCAGTCTCTCCCACTCACTCCTGAAAGCTGATGGAGGAGGATTCAGATGCCTAAATGCAGATGCCTTGTGCTATTAAGAGATCTGAGACAGCAGCACAGGGCTGGCAGATGAGAAATAGGTCCCACGGGAGGCTTTGCTCTTCTGGAGCAACAGGAGACCCAAGAGCACCCAAAACACCACAGGAATCTGCATATAGACAACTATTTGCAGCCCTGCAGCTTATGGGGAAGACGCAGGTTTCGGGAAGCTGCTGTTTTTGTGGCACACTGCAGAAAGCATCTCATCTGTCACCTGGCTCTGCTTACCCTTGAACAAAGCTTCAGTCCAGATTTTTAAGATTTGAATAGGTTTTATGAAAACACCTGGCAGAAGGATTTGAAAACACCCTGTCCTCAGGAGCTCCAAGCTGGGTGCTGGGCAAACCCAGAGGTAAAAATGTTGTCTGGATCCCAGACTAAGGTAAAAGAGAGAACTGCAAGTCTAAAGAAAATAATATGCATAGGTGCAACTGCTCTGCCTCCTCTCTCCAGGGCATCTCAGGCACTGCTCTAGCAGGAGCTGTGAGAGATGTGAAATGGCCTTGGAAAAAATTAAGGTGGGCAATCACCCTCCAAACAAGCTGCTGCACCAAGGTCTCTCTCCCCACAGACTCTGTTAGCTCATGCTCTATATTGACACCCTAATACGTGGCTCTGGTGAGATGTTTCTGTGCCCTGGGATCAGGAAAGAATAAATCACTTAAAAACCAGCAGAGGAAGTTGTCTGGACTGTGCCACAGGGGAGCAGGACCACAATTCAATCTGTGAGTTGGATGATTTCTTCAGCCATAACGTTCAAAGATTTTAAGGGCAGAGCTTTCATCTTCCGCATGTCTGCCTCCTTGTAGCTCCACTAATCCCAACACCCTGTTCTTTCTTTGGATGATTACTCAAACACTTCTAATTAACTGCAGTTTTCTGCCACCAAGCCAGGCTGTGTGCCCCAGGCACTTGGCTCATCCAGAGCCCAGGGCTTTACCCAAACCACCTCCTGCTGTCCCAGCACTGGTGCCCAGATTGCTGCCAGCTCCAGAGGGGCTCTGGGCCAGGAAGGTAGCTGCAAGCAGCCAAAATATGAACAGGGATCAAGCCTCCAGCTGCCTCCTGGCTTGGAGCTGGGATGCATCTTCTGGTCCATTTGGTTCAGAGCTGCACCAGCTTGGAGCCTCCTTGAATTACTCCATTTGAATCAGGACCATAAGCAGCCTGGAGCAGGGATGCTGTGCACCACACCCATCTCGATATCCTCATCTTGTTTGATCCCCCAAAATTAGCAAGACAGGAACTATATGTGCAGCCCCTGCTGTTTAGCAAAGAGGTAAATCCCTCCTACTACTCAGCAGGACATGGAGCTACTCCAGGCATGCAATCAGGCAGTTTGATCCTGCCTGACCAGGCCTGGAACAGGATCCTCACCCTGCAGAGCCCAGAATGGCCTGGCCATGGCAGAAACACAAAGAAAGCCCCAAAAGCCCTTGGAATGCATTTCTTCCCAGCCCTGGCAGCATGAGGGTTGGCAGACATGATCAGCGTGCTCTGAGTTGCTCAAACTTCACTTCTTCCCAAAATATCTTTTCAACATCTCCATTACTACCAGAGAAGAGCTCAAACAGTGTGATAAGTAGAGGGTGAGCCCAGGCCCACTGACAGAGAGGGTTTGGGGCAGAGCATGACTCGACCCTCCCCTTGGGGTAAGCAGAAGCATCACTTACCTGCTATAGGCACACTAACATTATACTGAGGTAAGATAAAGAGGAAGGCTGTCTTCGCTGTGACCTGTCAAAGACACACAAAGGGGAAAAAAATGCAAATCAGTTGTTGAATCCGTTCCTCTGCCACTATTTATGCTCCTTTCCTACCACACTCAGAAAGGCAATCGTCCAGGGAGATCTGTAGGCACCAACTTGACTCACAGGAACACCTTTCAGCAAGCAGATTGCTAGGGAATAGGTTTTCTATCAGAGACTTGGGAAGAAGAAAAAGAGGTATAGAAGAGGGATAAACCTGGAAAAGCAATGCAGCTGAAAAAGCCACCAGTTAGCATGACAGGGGAAGCTCCCCACCTCCCCTTGAGGATAAGCATCCCTCCAGTAGCATGGACTATTCTCACATGTGACCTGCTGCTCAAGGGCCACATGGAACCAACTCAGAAGACCATTTGATTAATTAAAACCATTTCTCATTCCCATCCACCCAGGCAGCCACATCAGAAGCCTGGCCCAGACACTCTGCACCTGAGCAAGCTCAGAGGCTGCAAAGCCCCATGGAATGGCTACACATGGATTTAGCCCCGCATCCTTGTGGAGGCTCCTCTAATAGCAGCCATGGGATCGGTGAGGTTGGACCCCTTTAGAGATCATGCAGGTGCCCATGAGGGTCCCACAGGGCAGGGGAAAAGTAGCTTTGACAAAGGAGTTGAACCTCATGCTGGCTACACTCAAGGTCTCAGAGGCATGTCCAAAAAGGTGAAAAATAGCCTGGGATGAGACATGGAGGCCCCTGCACACCAGGGCTGTGCTGCTCACTCTTCATTTATAGAATCATAGAATAGAATCATAGAATATCCTGAGTATTAAGTCCAGCTCCTGCCCCTGCACAGGACACCCTAAGAATCACACCATGCGCCTGAGAGCATTGGCCAAATGCTTCTTAATCAGGCAGGCTTGGTGCCATGACCACTGCCCTGGGGAGCTCTTCCCATTCCCAAACACCCTCTGAGTGAAGAACCTTTTCCTGATATCCAACCTAAACCTCCCCAGACACAGCTTCATACTGTTACCTCATGTCCCATCACTGGCCACCGGAGAGGTGACCACTGACTAAACTGTTACTCATTCAAGGGAATGATCCTCCCCAACAGTGATGCAGGAGGCTTTGTAAGGATGCGGCAGAGTATCCCACCCCAGTGCATCCGCAGGATGCCCCAAAGCAGCATCTCCACAACTAATGTGCCCTCAAGCCAGGACCACAGCAAAATCCAGTACACAGACATCCAACACCAAATGTTCCTTCATCCCATCCAGCTTCACACTGGCAGCAGATCACCAAATCTTTCCCCTTCCGATGGCCCCAACCCTTTGCAAGCACCCAGCATCATACACAACCAGCCCAAAAATATCCCATGCCTGTCAAACTCTGATGGAGATGAGCCGTGTTTCACATAGATGGAGCCGCCACTATTCCAGAGCTGCAGGCTATTAAAAACCCAGATGGAAATATTGCTCCATGACTTGTGGGGGGGACACAGGGGCTTTGCCAAGTGTTCCCATCCTTCCCCTAGGAGCATTGAGCAACTAGTCAGCAGCTTCGCTCCACTGGCACAGGCAGCCCCGGCTGGGGGCCATCAAGATCCACAGCATGTTTTCATGATGTTTGGGGATTTAACTTTTTTTCCACTTAAAAAAAAGGAAATCTCACATGTTGTGCTCTGCTTGTGGAGAAGTAGATACAAGAAAGAGAGACCATGGGCAGAGTTTGGGGTGGGAATGGAAAAAGTGCATCGCCTGGCCTCAAGCTGGCTTAAGGAGACACTTCTGGCACTTAAAGACCTTGCTGGCTAGAAAAGCAAAGTTGCTTCATCCCAGGGCAGTACAGCACTTCCAGAACCTGGACTTCACATCCAAACTTCATCACAAGCTGGTGCAGGGCTTGAAACAAATGCATGAAGCCAGCAGTGGTGTCCACATCATGGATGTGCCAACAGCAGCAGGCACGGAAGGACTTACAGCTACTTGAGTACCTGGCTGACATCCAGAGGTGTAAATTGCAGGAAACAAGAAATCATCTCCAGATGAAGCCTCCTAACTTGCTGGAGGGACCATAAGCCAGACTTGTGGGTCTGAAAAAATGGCCCTGGTGTATCTCCAAGGTGTGAAGCAATGCTTGCATGGTGCCCAACCCCAACATGATTCGCAAGGACTCTCCTAATCCTCTTTACTAGAGGACCTGGTAGGAAGGTTTCCTCCATCCACTCTAGGATCAAGCACTGCTTTGTCCTGTCTCCACACCTGTCTTTGCTTCCTGTGGGCTGGAGGACCACCAGCAGCTTTGGAGGCCACCTCTGCACCTCTTCACCCCTCTACCTTCCATTACAGAGGGGTAGTGGGTTGCTTTCTAAAGTCTGTGTAGAATATTTTACAGCCTAAGATAAATGAACCTCCTGGATACAGACAGACTCCTGACAGATTGATTTCCAAGGACAAAAATGCCTCTCTGCTCCACTTGACAGATGTGAGAGCCCAGGTACACACCTGCAGCCACTCACTAAGGGCCACAGCGGCCAAATTTGAACCTCTGAGCATCCAACCTCCTCATCCACCTCCACATCTCACAGACTTTACATAGAGAGAAGGTCTCCTCTCAGGCATCAAAGGCATTCCTTTCTCCTGCAACTGGTTGGAAGTGTTCACACTGACCATGGAACACACACCTGGCTGGGGAACCTCCACCTCCTGATAGCACCACGAGGACATCTCAGTTCAGCTAGGCAAAGACTCGCTGTTTCTACCAGTAGATGAAGCACGAAACACATGGGATGAACCACCCTGAGCAGGACACTGGTGACATTTCTCCATCTTGAAGTTGAAGGACAGCCTGTATGTCCATGGAGGGACCTGTGTCTTGTTGCCATTGCTCACAACATGCCCCTTACCAGCAGGCACGGAGGGTCAGGTGACTTGACTGAGGTTGCAGGTGAGCTCCATCAAGTAAACATCAAGCTGAAAATTCCCACATAATCCCCCCAATATCCCCTCGACTGCATCAGCTGGGAGCACCCATTGCTACACAGCCCTGAGTAGGGTATAGAGCCAGAAATCCCACTGAGCACCTTCAGCCTTCTGGGAAACAGGGAACACCTGAACCATGACCTCCAAGAACACCACCTCCAGTTCCCTGCAATGCAAAAACCAGGTTTCCTTGTCTTGGGAAGGAGTTATGGGCACCAGAGATGGCAAAGCTGAAGAGTTCCCACTGAGCAATTCACAAACAGCCAGGGAAAGCAGAAGTTTGGAATGGGAAGAGCAACATGAGGATTATTCAGAGGCACAAGACACTTGCCGTCTGTTTGCTCTGAAACAAGATGCTGGTATGGGAAAGGAAGCACCAGCCACACTCCTGCCTTCCAGGGCAGGGAGCAGAGCCAGAGCTACTGCAAAACTGCTGCTGGTAGGGGCAGAATTCATGGAATCACAGAATCATTAAGGTTGGAAAAGCCCTCTAAGATCATCAAATCCAATCATTAACCCAGCACTGCCAAGGCCACCACGAAACCATGTCCCCATGTGCCACATTGTATGTTTTCTGAACACTTCCAGGTATGGTGACTCCATCACTTCTCTGGGCAGCCTATTCCTACCCTGATCACCTTTTCAGCAAAGAAATAGTTCCCAATATCCAATATGAACCTCCCCCAGCGCAACTTGAGGCCATTTCTTCTGATCCTGTCCTTGTTACCTGGGAGAAGAGACTGACCCAAAAAAAGCCTTCACTGCCAATGCTTTCAGGAACTGGAAATAATATCCAAGCCTAAACTCCCCTGATGCCAGTTTTTATAGGGTGGGAGAGGGATTTGTCTGCATGGGATGAGCAGAGCAGGGCCATAGAGGAAAAGCTGCATATTCCTCACCCATTCCTTGCCCTGCATCAAGGGTACTTTGTGCAACCCAGCACTGGCCAAGGGGGTGAAGGAGATGCTCCTAATCCCTGGCCTCATCCTGCCTTGCAGGAGGGATGTGGCACTTGGGGACATGGCTTGGTGGTGAACACAGTGGTGCTGGATTAATAGTTGGTCTTAATGGTATTAGAGGGCTTTTTCAACCTTAATGGTTCTATCATTCTATGTGTTTAAACCAGGTAAATTTGGGAAGCAGTTGTCCTGAGAGCTCTCTACAGCCACGTAAAAATAACCACACCCTCAGCAGCGACTGGGTTTGTGGTGGTTAATCCAAGGACCAAAGGGCAGATAGACTGTGAAGAGGCAAAACTCAACATGCTCACCAAAATGAGATTCCTGTGATGCTCAGAGCAGCCAGGACAGGTCTCAGGCTGTTCCTCATGGCTCAAAATCAAATCAGCACATCCACCTCAAAGCCCTTGATAGCAGAACAATGGATAAAGACAAACATTCCCAGCACTACTACACATCTACTATGCATCTACTATCTACCACTAGGCATTTACTCCCCGGTAATGCAGTGACTGGGAAAATACCCTTGCTAGCCTGGAGCTTGCTGCCTAATACAGAGCAGCAAAGCTCCCCCTGACCCTTTTAAGAATCACAGACTCCCAGAATGGTTTGGGTTGAAAGGGACCTTAAAGCTCATCTCATTTCAACCCTCTGCCATGGGCAGGGACACCTTCCACTAAACCAGGTTGCTCTAAACCCCACCCAGCAATTTAGAAGATGCTGTTTTTTCCTGCCACAAAAAGCTCAAAGAGCCCAAACCAAGATCCCAGTTTTACTTATGCAGATGTGCAAGTGGCTTTTAATAAAGGCATTTAAGCACACACATCCAGGCAGCTTAGCACCTCCCCCAATATCTACCCACTGCAACTCTCAAACACAAGTATTTTCAGGAATGAGGGATAAGTTTTGAGCATCCTTCACAGAGAGCTACCAGGGCACTCTATGAACTCTGTGAACAGCTTGCCCAGATAGGTTGTAGACTGCCCAACCCTGGAAGCATTCAAGGCCAAGCTGAATGGGGATTTGAGCCACCTGGTCTAGTGGAAGGTGTCCCTGCCCAAGGCAGAGAGAGGGTTGGAATGAGACAATCTTTAAGATCCCTCCCAACCCAAACCATTCTGTCATTCTATGAAACCCATTTCCCCTTCGAAAAGCCTCATCCCAGCAGGATTTGTAGTTGGTGCTGCCTTCACCCCAGCCACAAACCCCCAGGCACACTGCTATCCCCACAGTCCTGCTTGAGTTAAAATCACTTTGGAGGAAGGAAGCAACTCCAAACCTCCGGCAGGGGAGGCTGGGGGAGTTTCTGCAGTCAGAGCTGGGAAATATTTCCAA